GCCACTATATGAAATGCCAACTTCTATGCTCAACGTTCTGACCATGCAGGCAAGTGTGCCAAATGCCTTCTTCACCAACCTCTCTGCCTGCTGATGGGGGGAAGCAAGAAGTACTTAAGTGGGTGATGTTGGATGATGCAGTGTAACAACTGTTTCGGGCTATGTGGGGAGCAAGGTGTAGATAACGGTTGTTAACCGAGTGATTATTTACCTCAGATTATTATCTGAATGTCCAAGGTCCAACCTAACCCCTTACACCTCTGACATCCCCAATCTTCCCTTGCGTCTCCTCAGCTTCCATCCAAACGGGCATACCCTGAGCCACAGATTTGGATAAAAACAAATACCCATTTCAATCAAAGGACAAACCTGACTAACCTATGCCACCTTTAAATGATGAAAACCAGTGCCGCAACTCTGCATGTGCTGCTGACTTACTCTTGAAGCAGAGCATAATCTGAAAACATTTTAAGAAATGACTATTGATAGGGTGTAAATATATCTAAAACTGCAAGTCAACACTCCAAGGTAATGTCCAAATTGCTTCTGCAAAGCCGTTGACTTAATCTCTACATTTTATCCCACCAACGGGAAAATAGGATTTTGGTTTCTTCTCCCAGTTAACCCACCCGTCAATCACTTTTCCTGCTGTTGCATGCCCCATTTAATACCCACCCAAGGAGATCAGCAGAAGGATAGGCAAAAGCTTGGACAAAAGAGACAGATTTCAGTGAGCAAAGAATAGAAAGAGAGGTGGAGAGATTTAAGGAGAGAATTCCAGAATTTAGCAGCTAAAAGCACAGCTACCAGCAATGGACCCATTAAAATCAGAAATGCTCAAGAGTTCCAGAATTAGAATTATGCAAATATCTTGAATACTTGTGGATGAAGGAGAGGTTAGAGACAGTAATACCATTTGCTTTGAAGATCATTACTGACTTGATTTTTCACATTTTTACTCCAAGTACATATATACAGCAACGACATGCATTTACATAGTGCCAGAAGCCCATTAATGTAAATGACTTTGCAAGCTACTTGACAGAAATGTCATCAATAAAAATGACATCACAGGATCAGACAATTTGTTGATTTGACCTTTAGATTTCTGTTACTATAATCTAGCACAAAGTAAGACAAATTGCAAATATTATTCAAAAGTGAAAAGTTTTATTTAATGAATGCATGTAATATTTGAATGTCATGCAGTTTGAGTCTCAGTGTGTTTTCTTGTGTTTACCATTATTATAAACCACTGTATATTATTTATGGATCTGTGCCCTTTAGTGCTTCCTTATTTGAGGCAGTAAGAGTGAATGACGAATGCTAAACTGTCCAATACATTACGTGTAATTCAAAAGACCTACCATCACAATCTACAATTATCCTTTGAGTATCTACACTAGCAGCATGAATGCCCTGTGTTGAACCTTTTGGGTGTTCATTGCTATCCTGAGGAAATTGTAAATGAAATTTCTACTGTGAAATTGTAGATGCACAATGATATTCAAACCTTTCTGTAAGTGGGGCATTCTTCTTCTAAACATTGACACATTCGCAACACTGGTCTGGACTTTAACAGTTGGCATCTGAACAAAAAAACCAAATAGTGCTATCACTGAAATATTTTTAATAAGTACATTGGACAGAAATAACAATAGATAAAATAAACAACAAAAATTTAAAAATCTGAGGTCAAGGTATCTGGCAAGTTACAGGGACCATTCAAATCACCTCACAGATCATAGTTCTAAAACCTATGGATTTTATTATGAATGTAGCCACCAGATGTTTCCTGTCATTGGGTATATTGATATAAAATGATCATAAATCTATATCATTAGAATTACACAACTAAAGCTACAACGAGATTAGTAATCTTTACATTAACTGCAGGCAGTAAATATTGTTTGCCTAAGAATAGATGAATAAACTGATACTGAAAACCTAAAGCTCAAAAACTGTTCAACAATTCATGTTATAGTTAAATGCTATGTTCTTTTTTAAAGAAGTATATTTTGCACTTGTCAGCAAAGATGTATTGTAACACTTTCTTGCAGTTTAACCTTCAAGCGCAGGTGCTGTATTATATAATTAAAGCAACATTCATCAAACTATTATATTACATGCCTTTCCAGGTTATTGACAAATCCTTCGTATAATTAGGTTATTTTTCAATGTCTGGCTGATATTGAGCAGGTGTTCAAAGCTAAGTCTTACTGAAACTACTCATTTTTCATTGGATAAATGGTCTTCGGAGTAAATTCTGACATAATGGGGCTACTCAGTGGTAAACCCATTGTAAATTTCAGTAGTTTTGTTTTTCCTCCTAAATATTTTTGAAGGCCAGGAATACTCTTTCTATATAATAAATTAGTTTCATTATCATGTCACTTAGACTGCCAATCTGTATTGTTATCTCATTTATCCTAAAGTTCATTTAAACTCAGTTCTCCTCAAGAGCTTGTTAATCATCACATTTTCTGTTTAATATTTTCATGTGTTTGGTAATAAAGGCAGTTAATAATCTGAAATCATTTTCTTCAATAGTGTGACAAAGTAGATTGGTTTGGGAATTTTGATGAAAGTGCCAATGAACTGTTTGTTTTGGGTGCAGTTTTGACCAACCTTGTCTCTGGAAATTAACGAACCCAATCTAGGAGAAAAGTCACTTTGTGGGTTGTTAATTTGCTGTGATGTGTCAATCCTTGAAATTTTGAAAATAATTATTCACTGTTAGTAACAGTAAAAAAATGTGAATGTTTGATATACTAGATCAGACCTAAACATGGGCTTATTAAATTGGAAGGTTTAGGAACAGAAGCAGAGGGAATGGAGCAGTGTACAGCTGTACTGCTCCATCAGGGAATCTTGCCTGTCAGCAACACAAATTGCAAGTTCATGTGCATGTTACCCATGATTTTCCAACTATTACTGCTGTGTGTGTTATACTTCAGAAATGGGAGTATTTATTTGAATCATTATTTCTGACGAATGCTGCAGTTTCCACTTCAATCTATCAGTGGATGACCATCAATTAAAATGCATTTAAGGTACACTGCACCTGTAATGAAAAAGTTGCACTTATTTAATGCTCCTCCTGGAAACTTAGAAATCAGCTTCTTGTAATGCCTGATGTCACAGTGCCCTCTGCAGAAATATGCATGCAACTTACCAATTGACCATATCAATTGGTCAAAACGTATTGATCCCATCTTACAATTCTCAATATTTTCGAGACAACCTTGTAAAAGACATCCTTTGGGATATAAGGAAGCAGTTCCAGGGTGAGGATTTGTCACTTTGAGAGTTCTTGCTTGCCTACATCTGACAGGATTCATCAAAAATGATAGATTGCCATGAAGCATGTCTAAATAATTAGAATTAGACACCATCAGAGGCACAGTGTAGGTAAGCAAAACAACAGGACCCTCAAATTTTCCTGTCTTTTACATGACCTTGAGGCAGAGGGTAAAAATGGGAGGAATTTCTGGTCACCCACACAGGCTACAATATCTGTCGGTGTGTTGCCAATTTTGTTTTACTCATTATGGATAGGACAGCACAGAATTTGATCGCTTCATGTCTGTTGCAAATTTGGGACCTGCCTCCTTACTCTACCCATGATGCTCTGAGTCAGATTCCTTTATTCCTTTATTCATTCATGGGATAAGGGGCATAGCTGGCAAGGCAGCATTCGTTGCCCATCCCTAATTGCCCAGAGGCAGTTAAGAGTCAACCACATTGCTGTGAGTGTGGAGTCACATGTAGGCCAGGATGGCAGTTTCCTTCACTAAAGAACATTAGTGAACCAGATGGGCTTGTTCTTGACAAATGACACTGGATTCATGGTCATCATTAGATTCTTAATTCCAGCTATTTATTGAACTCAAATTCCACCATCGGCCATGATAGGATTTGAACCCAGAATGTTACCTGGGCTCTGGATTAACATTCCAGCGATAATACCACTAGGCCATCACTTCCCCCAGATTTCACTTTCGGCAAAGAATTCAAGGAGATGATGATGGCTGATTATTTGCTATTTGTTTGTTGCATCTCGTTAGGAGGAATTATGCATTTCAGTTGTGTTGGTTTCTGAATATCTTTTAATACTTCACTGTCAGCAATAAAAAGAAGGCCTTTGATTATTTTGTACAGGAAGTTCATTTCAACATGCATCATGTCAAATGTTTGTATGAGCATGTCTGCAAAATTCTTAATATGCTAGTAACTGTGATTGTGCAAGTGAAGTGATTAGCACATAATTATGAAGTATCTGGTTAAGGGTTTATCTGCATTCACTTTGAACCATTAGCAAAATTGAGATCTCATTTGGACAGGGCAGAAACACCTCTTCTGTGTTGAGTTAAAGTCAATTTAAACAATCAACAAAGTTCAAAAATGGATTTCCTGTAAATTAAAGCATCTGTTTGAAAACTTCAGTAGTTCTTATTTAACAGTTGTCCATTTGAATTTCCCTTTCAGAACCTGAAGATTACCCAACTAGAATTCAGTGAAACATAGCATATTGTCAGCAATAAAGTAACTTAATTAGATAGAAAAATGTAAAATAAATGGGGTGTATATGTTACTGATGTTAAAATTGACCTGCAAAAGCCCAAGCGAACAGAATAAAGCACTTGAGATACAATGCAAAAGCTTATTATTCAGCTGTGGCTTTTGACATATGTTATCATTTAGAGAACAGTTGATTTGAAGATTCAGTGGCAGGTTCATACATAAGTAGTATCTGTCTGACTTCTTCCAATGAGAAGGTTAAAACAATATCATATATCATCAATAAGATGTCAGCACAGACGGCAGGTTGTACTTATTGAGTTACATGTTTCAATCGTTCATGAAAATCTATGTCTTAAGGTAAAAACAAATCAAAAGAATCTTTGGAGTTTTCTGAATCCAGTATCAGGGAAAAACAGTGACTCAAGATTTATATTTAAGGAGTTTTGATTTTGAAAGGAATATCTGTTTCTGTCTAGGGAAAAATGACATCTTTGGTGAAATGATCCATCTTTATGCAAGACCTGGGAAATCTAATGCTGATGTACGAGCGTTGACTTACTGCGATTTGCACAAGATCCAGAGGGAAGACCTTTTAGAAGTTTTGGATATGTATCCAGAATTTTCCGACTACTTCTTAACAAACCTGGAACTCACCTTCAATCTACGAGATGAAGGTTCAAAGGTAACAATTTAAAGGCAACTCAAAGAGGAATATGCCAACATTTTCTAACTAATTGTGAACAAACATGTTACTGTGTCATGTCAGGCAGGTAGTTGTACTGCTTCAACACAGTTTGACATTTTAGTTAGTTATTGCGATGTTTGAGATTAGCAAACTTATAAAGATATGAATGTTCCTATTTACATGTTTAAAGCATATGTATAACAGTTGAATGTTGTGTGGATTTAATATCAATTTACAATAATGCAACACCTTATTTGCTCCCAATTTATTGTGACATGCATGTCTGTTTTTCAAATTGGCAATAACATTTGTAATTAATCATATTGTCAGCAATAAAGAATAAATACTAAGTGTAAACACTAGTGTGTAATGGTGTAGGTTCAGTCCTTCCAAACTTGAGTTACGTCAGAGGAGGTAATTTGTTTACATGCCAGTAGGTTACAGGTATGTTATGATGGAATGGATTGTGTAACGTATTTAATTAAGCAAATGACAAAGGAATTTTATTGCCATACTGTTAAACCATATTAGTTTAAGTCTGATTTCTACTCAAAAGGGTATAAAGACAAGTTTAAAAAAAAATAGGGAAATACCAAGACTGCCCTGTTGTATGATTTGTGTTTGAGGAAGAGCAGTTAAGTACAGTGACCTGAATCAAGATTCAGCCTTCATTAAGTACACTAAAAACAGCTTATTTGGTTGCTAATTCCAATTTATGCATATATTGGCTGTAGCATTTTCCATTATTACCACAGTATACACATTTCAAAAGTATTTAATTAGTTGCCAGCCATTTTGGCATGTAATAAGTCTGAAATCTATAGAAAAAAAGTCACAGAAAATTGACACAGAAGGAATCCATTTGGCCCATGTTGTCTTTGTTACTGGAAGAATAGTTACCCAGTCTAAATGAATGTGACTACAGTATTATCATGGCACTTTCATCTTTGCCTTTCACAAATTTGCTTATCCAAATAAAACATTATGTATACCTTTTCTGATGAAGGGTCCAGGCCCGAAACGTCAGCCTCTCTGCTCCTATGATGCTGCTTGGCCTGCTGTGTTCATCCAGCCCTGCACCTTGTTGTCTCGGATTCTCCAGCATCTGCAGTTCCTACTATCTCTGTATACCATTTTGTCTGTTGTCAGTTCAACATTCACTTGTCTGCAATTTCCAGTTAAAAAAACTTCGAGCAAATTTCAAAAAATGAAAGCATGCCTAATTTAAATTAAATATACTAAAATACAAAAAGTGTCCATGATGTACTGTACTATATATCTTGGTCTAGAAAGTCCACGTTGTGCTTGCATTATCTGCCCTGTAGCTTTCTGCAGTGTTTGGGTGTTCACTGTTGTTATGATCATTACATTCCACATAAGAAATTAATAGCGTGACAAATTTTATTTACTTCTTATTTTGTTAAAAGTTTTTTTCAGTCAACTTCTTCATATGTATTCACAATATTGTTCTTTTTAATCTTCCATTTTAATTGGAACGATCTTGACTCATATTGAGAAATGGGTCCCCTGTTTGCAAGGTTTTCAAGAATGTAACTCTGCAAGTAGTGGGACTTTGCTGTTCGTCTGCCTGTTGCTTGACCAATCCATGAAATAGCTCTCCCAGTTGAGCAGAATTTTGCAGGGTCATCCTGAGTGTGCCTTTCTATCCAAATCCAGTGTCCAGGTTGAAGCTGGGTGATATAGTTGGTTTTATTCCGTTTACACTTTCTCATAGCATTTGCTGTAACTTAAATCGTTTTCTCAGCCATTTAATATGGGATATATTAGAGGTGCTATGTAAATGCAAACTCCTTCCTTCTGTCTTTGCCTTTCTTCCTGCTTTTCCTTTTCTTCCCTCCCTTGCATCCTTTTCATTCTTTTATGCCCTGTTAATGTAATCACATCTCAAACTTAAAGTTGCAGGTGTTTTGTAGAACATAGAACATAGAACATTACAGCGCAGTACAGGCCCTTCGGCCCTCGATATTGCGCCGACCTGTGAAACCAATCTGAAGCCCATCTAACCTAAACTATTCCATTATCATCCATATGTTTATCCAATGACCATTTAAATGCCCTTAAAGTTGGCGAGTCTACTACATTTGCAGGCAGGGCATTCCACGCCCTTACTACTCTCTGAGTAAAGAACCTACCTCTGACATCTGTCCTATATCTATCACCCCTCAATTTAAAGCTATGTCCCCTCATGCTAGCCATCACCATCCGAGGAAAAAGGCTCCCACTGTCCACGCTATCTAATCCTCTGATCATCTGGTATGTCTCTATTAAGTCACCTCTTAACCTTCTGTCTAACGAAAACAGCCTCAAGTCCCTCAGCCTTTCCTCATAAGACCTTCCCTCCATACCGGGCAACATCCTGGTAAATCTCCTCTGCACCCTTTCCAATGCTTCCACATCCTTCCTATAATGCGGTGACCAGAACTGTACGCAATAGTCCAAGTGCGGCCGCACCAGAGTTTTGTACAGCTGCAACATGACTTCATGGCTCCGAAACTCAATCCCGCTACCAATAAGACCTAACACACCGTACGCCTTCTTAACAACGCTATCAACCTGGGTGGCAACTTTCAGTGATCTATGCACATATACACCGAGATCTCTCTGCTCATCCACACTACCAAGAATCTTACCATTAGCCCAGTACTCTGTATTCCTGTTACTCCTTCCAAAGTGAATCACCTCACACTTTTCCGCATTAAACTCCATTTGCCACCTCTCAGCCCAGCTCTGCAGCTTATCTATGTCCCTCTGTAACCTGCAACATCCTTCCGCACTATCCACAACTCCACCGACTTTGGTTTCATCCGCAAATTTACTAACCCATCCTTCTACGCCCTCATCCAGGTCATTTATCAAAATGACAAACAGCAGTGGCCCCAAAACAGATCCTTGATTTACACCACTAGTAACTGAACTCCAGGATGAACATTTCCCATCAACCACCACCCTCTGTCTTCTTACAGCTAGCCAATTTCTGATCCAAACTGCTAAATCACCCTCAATCCCATGCCTCCGTATTTCCTGCAATAGCCTACCATGGGGAACCTTATCAAACACTTTACTGAAATCCATATACACCACATCAACCGCTTTACCCTCATCCACCTGTTTGGTCACCTTCTCAAAGAACTCAATAAGGTTTGTGAGGCACGAGCTACCCTTCACAAAACCGTGTTGACTATCCCTAATCAAATTATTCCTTTCTAGATGATTATAAATCCTATCTCTTATAATCCTTTCCAACACTTTGCCCACAACCGAAGTAAGGCTCACTGGTCTATAATTACCAGGGTTGTCTCTACTCCCCTTCTTGAACAAGGGGACAACATTTGCTAGTCTCCAGTCTTCTGGCACTATTCCTGTAGACAATGACGACATAAAGATCAAAGCCAAAGGCTCTGCAATCTCCTCTCTAGCTTCCCAGAGAATCCTAGGATAAATCCCATCCGGCCCAGGGGACTTATCTATTTTCTCACCTTCCAGAATTGCTAACACCTCCTCCTTATGAACCTCAATACTGTCTAGTCTAATAGCCTGTATCTCAGTATTCTCTTCGGCAACATTGTCTTTTTCCTGTGTGAATACAGATGAAAAATGTTCATTTAGCACCTCTCCTATCTCTTCAGACTCCATGCACAACTTCCCACTACTGTCCTTGACTGGCCCTAATCATACTCTTGTAGATTAGACCATTTCTCATACTTATAATCATCACACGAGGTATCCTCAGACAAATATTGCCTTCAGCTCAATACCTATTTAAACACATTATTCCATTAGTGCTCAGTCAATGCCAGACAGCTTTGTTACATAAAACCTTGAGTTTGGTTGTAAGACTATTGGAAGCAACGTAACAGTCAATGCCCCAGTAATTAAAATCAGACAGAGCTAAATTATTAAACACTGTTAATGATGACTTAACTGTTAAGCAGTATCAAATTCTCTTTAAGTATTGAATCAACACACTCAGTCTTGAAGACATAGTGGGGCAGATTTCCTTCTGGAGTTACACCAGTGACCTGATATAACTCCCAGCAGGCCAGGTTGTGATTAAGTGAGAAGCCATTCTGCTAGCTCCCACTTCCCAATGGTACTTTATGGAATTTACTGCAAAAGATGATGGTGGGTCATTAATATATCTGTCTGACCATGTGTGTGTAGTGTAATTAATCAATTCTTCCCAAGTCAGCCCAGCAACATTTAGTATTTTGGTATTTGCAATGGCTCAGTTGTAGTATTTTGATGTCACAGTCAGAACATTGTGAGTACAAGTCCCACTCCCACCATTTGAACACATACACTAAAGTGAAACTCTAAAGTGAAATTCGGAGCAGTACAGAGAGTGGGTTGCACTCTCAGAGTTGATTTCTTTCGGTTGAGATATTTTACAAAGATATTTTGTTTTCCCAGCTAAGGCTGATTCTCTCAGTTAGTGAAAGCATAATGCTTGATCATACAGCACCATTAAATCCCTGTGGCACCTGAGATAGTTCTTGGGGCTTACACCTTCTACTTGCCCCATTATTTATCTTGGCATCACTGAAGAACAATTAATAACATTGACTAATACAATTAGACAATGGGGTCATTGCCTTTTCGTTTCGGTAGATCCCAATGGCTCTCGTGCAAAGAGCAGAAAAATTCCACCTAGCAAATATTTATCCCTCAATCAACAGCTAATTGATTAATAAATATCAATGTCATTGATTTATTTTTGGAATATACTCAATTAGGAAATAAAAGTAAATAGTGTGGGAATTATCTTGGTTGTTTCAAAATGCAATCCCAGGCACCTTCAAAAGAGAAGATATTTAGATTTGAAAATGTTTGCACATACTACAACCTTAGTGCACAATTACAGTCATGCTTACATGAGTTCCACAGTCAGAAAGGTTAGAAATAAAATACAACATTCCTGATGAAGTACCACCAATAAAATTATAATAAAATTATAATACATATTACAATACAAAGTTACCCACTTTTCAAAAAAGGGATAGAAAATAATGGTGCAATCATTGAAATAGAGAGATTCTGGGAAATGTGTGCATTCAGAGGGACCTGGGTGCATGTGTAGATAATCCTCAGAATTGAACAGAATAAATTAGAGTATAGGAGTTAAGAAGTCTTTCAACAACTATACAGTGTGTTAGCGTGGCAAAGCTTGGAATACCAAGCTTGGAATAAAGCTTTGGTTTCCTTATCTAAGAAAATTCGTGCTTATTCTAGAAGGGCGCAATGAAGGTTCAGTAAGGGATGAACAGATTGTCCTATCATTAAACTCAGCTTATATCCCTTAGAATTTGAAGAATAAGAGGTGATCCAATTTAAACAGGTAAAAATCTTAAGTGACTAGACAAGGTATATGCTGAGAAAAGACTTTCCTGTCAATCTAGAACAGGAAGTCACAGACACAGGAAGACTGGATAAGGAGAAATTTTATGACTCAAAGGGCAAACCCCTTCACTCCTTTTTACTCCATTGTGCCATAGATGCTTATTAGAGTGTATTCAAGAAGAAGTTGATGGATGTTTGGACATGAAGGGAATTAAGGAACATTGAGATATTACAGAGAAATTGAGTTGTGGTAGAAATCAGCCCTATGATATTGAATAGTGGAGTAGATTTGAAGCTTCTATTTCTTCTTCTGTTTAAGTACAACCAGATGTTAATATCATTTACCTCAATAATATTAAATGAACTGACAAGATTAGACTGGTATGGCAACTCTACCAAAGCAGATTTAAATCCGTTTTTGCTAGTTTATGATGTATTTAAGGATAACGTACTTTAATGAATGGTAAGTGAATCATAGTAATCTAACCCATCCCACTAACCTTCTTTTACACATCTCATGATTGTTATTTAGATTAGGATCAGAAAATGTCATTAAACGGACAGATGAGCCAGTATTCCACATTTAGTTTTATTGTCATAATTACCCTTTGTGTTTATTCACGTCCCTTAAACTGTGGTTCAGTAAATACTGAAATATTTCTGTCTCATTTTCTGTTATTACTCTTGTCTAAAGCCACCTGCTGCTGGTCTTTTATTTTCTAGGCAGACATGCTACTCAGAGCAGAAACCAGTGATGATTCAGATGAGGAGATTCCCAGACCTCAAAGAAGAAAGCTTTCCTTCAAAAAGAAAATAAACGAAGGTAACTTACCTCTTGAATTTGATGTTGGTCCTAAAATCAGAATTTAGCAAATAGAAGCAAAAACTTCCAATTTAAACTATTACTGTTCTTGTGTCGTTTACAGTCTTTCATTTTTGCATGAATATAAATATGTTTGTTTTAAAACAGAGTTCAAATTTTATTGCCAAAATGTGATTGTTATAATACAACTGAATGGCATACTATATTTGATCATCAATTAAATTAAATAATTCATTACAGTTATTGCTGAACTGCATGATTATATGGAAACTAACAGTGGAATGTGAATATGTGAATAATAAACTGAATTTAATTTTAAATGCATTTGATATAATGGATTTTATATACAACACTTTAACTGTTTTTACCATGGAACTTGCTTCAGAAATTGACCATTGATGAATAGGAATCTGTAAGGTTAATAATCAAAAGTCAGCTTACTTTTCAATGTTTGATTTATTTATAATAGCAATCACTCACCTTATTCAATAATATTTGCCATCACAGACGATAATAAAAATGATTATGAATTACATGAAGCAACTCAAGATATCACACAAGGAGAACAGCGAAATTATTGTAAAAAAAGAGATTCAGAAGAAAAGCACAATGTATCATCATCATCCTTTTCTACCTCTGTTGATGAGGAGAAGAAACCATTATGTTCTGGAATGTTGGACTTTCCTTCAGAGATAGAAGAGAACTGCAGGCTCGGATTTGCACAAGGATCCGAAATACAAAGCAGAAAAGCAGAAAGAAGAACCAAGGTATCAGGTAAGGAATCAGAACAAAACTGAGCAAAGCTGATGTTAATGATACTTCAGGTTATTTAATTTAATATCAGAGATTGTTTCATTGCATAGCATTGAGACAGAAAAATATTTATGCAATGAACCTGACAATTCAGCTAAACAGACAAAGAGACAGTTAGAGATTATCCCCACTATCCCTGCTTGTAGCCTCCACCTCTCTCACCAACCCTCTTGCTGTTTCCCACTTCTCCACCATTCTCCTTGCAACACTCTTTTTCGCCTAACCTACCTTGGAGCCTTTTTCTTCCATCCCCCTGCGGAAGAATGCCTCCACCTAGACTTAGCAGATGAACCTCCTAATGTTGGCTCTCAAGTCTTAGGATCCTCTGCCTCAGCAACTCAGCTTCAGCATCACTGAGACAAGGTGTTAGTTTATCAGGAAGCCTTGTGTCAGTGCTGCTGAAGCTCCTATGGTAAATGCCCTTTGGCAGCTTGCTCCCTCACTTAGTGGCTGACTTACTGTTGCTCGCTGCTCCTGCAATCCCAAGCTGTTTCTCTCCTGCGGTTACTGCTGATAGGTTCACCATGAACCTATCTATCCATTCTATTTACAGGAGTGACTTTTCTGATTGGTAACCCCCTTCACTGAATTTTCCTAAGTGCTTTCAAATTCACCTACCACTTCAATTTAATTTTATTGCTGATGTAAGTGATACAATCTGGATTTGAATACCTTCTATATGAGCTACAGTGAACTCCATAGGGAACATGGGCATTTACTTATCATTTTGTTGAATTTTGAATAAAGAATAGGATAGGGCCCCCCAAGGCTATTCTGCAATTCAGCTAATCTGTAAGATCTGTGATTTTACTAATCTTACTAGAAACCAGCTAAGTGCCATTTTGGTGAATTTTGTGGATGTTTGCTCTCCATGAGATCTCATGAGTTTTCTCATACTATCATTCTAAACTCACCACATTACCTCTGCACCATGCTGCTTTGGCTCTACACTCATTGTTTTCTCCTAGTCGCTGTAGGTAGATATTGACCACTGCCAGAACGTACTTGATCCCTAGTGCCAGTGCCATGTTTGAAACCCAGTGCGCACAGTCAAGCATTGGCAGTCCACAGCTGCCGTTCATTGTGCATGTGGTGGGAGGGCACAAATTGAGGCATTCCAGGGCACAGAGGTGGCACAGAGTCATTCATTCTACATACAAGTGCACAGTCTTACATCTATCATTGTTTAAGATCCAAGCCACAGAGGTTACACATCCTTAGCCCCATCCCATCTTACTACCCTGCCTAAGTTGGTAATAATCTTCCCCAAATGCCCAGTGTAGCTCAAACTCTTATCATTGTTCAATGTGGGAGTGTCTCACAGGGAAGCCTTCAGTAGTTCAAAACATTCATTTTTATTCAGCAGAAGCAAACCGTAAAGACACAAACAAAAGCTGTACATGCCTTACAGAATTGAAATGGACTGCTTACAGTTTAAGCAACATCAAATTTACAGTCAATAAGTAATCGCTACACCCAGCTCTCATCAACTGGAATTGGGTGTCACTTAAGTCCTGTTGGCTTTGGCTTGAAGGACCTGACATGCACCACCCTATCTCTGTGAAGGTTATGTTCTCCCTACTCAATTTCCTCATCTCACTCCTCAGAAGTCTACTGCTCCCCTCTTAGCTCTTCAGCACTCATCACATTGCTTATTTGTCTGCTCCATGTGTGCAAATCACAGCATGCTCAGATAATGCAGCGCACACTGTCTGGAGTGTACTACAAGGACCTCCGTACCAATTCAAGCATCGGAACCTCATCTTCAGGAGGCTGGTCATCTGCTTGTCCATGATCCTGGTTGAAAAATGGGCAGAATTGTATCTACAATTTGGCCTCAATTAGAGAGCTGCATAACAGGGTCATCAGTCATGGTCACAGAGGGTAATCTTTGACTCCTAGTAACCATCCTTGTAGGGTATCTGGCACTTGAAACAAACCAGGAACATGAGAGGTGCATAAGCTGTAGGCATCATTGCAACACACAGGGTATCTGGTGCAGACTTTTAAGATTTGACACTAATTCTTCCTTAAACAGTTAGACAACACTGACCAGAATGTTACGAATGAATTTGCCAGGTGTCCCATAATACTGAAGCAGTCAAATCAATATGAACACAAGCTGGTGGCAATACAAAACAGTCCCAACTTCATTAGGAAAAAAGTCACAATAACCTTTAATACGAAACATATCATCTCGAATCCTATTTGGCACCTTAAGCTTACAATACTTACTGAGTCTCTTGTAGTTTTACACAGTCGCGCTCTCTCTGGCTCTGTCCCTGGGTCCGCAAAACAGCTCTCCCCTACTTTTCCCTCTCTCCCTCTCTCTCTCTTCCCCCACCCCCCACCCTCCCTCTCTCCCCCTCTCTCTCCCTCTCTCTCTCTCTCTGTCTCTCTATCTCTCTCTCTCCCCTTTCTCACTCTCTCACTCTCTGGCTGGATGGTCATCTGGTCTCTGCTGCTTGCCATGCTGGTCTTCTCAGAAAGCGTCCAGAAGATTTGAGTGATATTAGTTGGCAATTGAACCCTGTTTTTACACCTTTTTGGATGGCTTTCTGGAACTTTCTAGAATTCTGGCGCATCAGGAAGACACACTTAATACTGAAAACAAAAAGTGGTAGAAATCACTGCAGGTCAAGCAGTACCCCGTTGAGAGAGAGCCAGATAACATTTTGAGTCTAGATGACTCTTCATCAGAGCTCTGATGTTTCAGTAGATCTAAGCTGGATGTAGTCATTACTTATTGGCTGAATATTTGTTGCTGTCCCAAAGACAAGAAGCCTCTGTTTAGTCCCAAAGCAAGTGCAACTTACCTTGTGAAGTGTTGAAGATTATAAAACTTATTGCAACATTGCTGTGCATTCCTCTGTACCACAGAAATGGTACTTTGGACTTTGATCTCGTCTAGCAGGGACTGGTGCAGTGTCTAATCTGATGGTCCTGAGGAAATAAGGTGACAGTCCTCTGCACCACTCCATCCACCAGAATGTCCAAGTCCCTGGCAGCAAAGCAAAGTGGCAATTTGCCTCTCTCCGACACATCCTTTACAATTGCACAGCAACATACTATATTTGAAATACTGTACATCTAGGGTTTAAAATGGTAGCCAAGGCATGAAGGCCTGAAGGTCATGGCGCCATGAGAGCACTTTTGCCACTGGTGAGTGGAAGATTGTGTGAGAGTAGCACTGGGGAGATGTGATGCAGAAATAATGAAGTGAGCAATAGAGAATTGCATGAGAAAAGTCATCTGAGCTCACAGAAGGATAAGTTCCATGAAAACTCCTGAAAACATATCCAGACTTTGAGAAAACTCAGTCCAATAACTACGAGTTTATACCTATGAAAATCAATAGTAGATAGTTAACAAAAATATTACCTATTGTTAATACATATCTGCAACATTTTGCTTTATTCCTTTGTTGGGACTGTTATTTCAAGAGGAGCTTTCTAAAGGTAATAAAATAAATGTTGAAAATGGTTTACGTTAATTGTTGACCTTTTTTTTAAACATGTTTGTCAGAAGCTAATGAGAGAAAGCCAACAGAATACCCTGATATGTCAACGCAGTCAGCCTCCTCTCAAGCAGCCTGTGGTGTCTCAGAGTCTGGAAGTGATATAACGTATGGAGAAGTGGAGCACAGACTAGATTTACTTCAGGAACACCTCAGCAGGTAATCATTTCCTCAGGCTCTATTTTGACCATTCCAAACTCACCCCTTGTACAGAGTTAAAAAATAGTAATAGGAGGAAGATATCTTGGTAAATTGTCTACCAGGGACATCAGTTCCTGCAAGTGACCTTCACTTTTGCATACTGAAGTTTGAAAACAATATGAGCAGTGGTTTAAAAGCAAAATACTGCAGATGGTGGAAATCGGTAAAAAACAGACAAACATTTCACAGGCAATTTGGCTTAGGCAGCAAATGCTATCCTTGCCAGGGGCACACATCTTAGAAAAGAATTTGAAAACATATTTGATATTATAATTTCAGAGCAACGGAGAATGTTTCTAACAATAATGCCATAAACTGTGTTTCAAAGTCATGGAGTCATAGAGTTGTACAGCACGGGAACAGACACTTCAGTCCAACTCATCCATGCCGACCAGATATCCTAAATAAATCTAGTCCCATTTGCCAGCATTTGGTCCATATCCCTCTAAACCCTTCCTATTCATATACCCATCCAGATGCCTTTTCAATGTTGTACTTTTACCAGCCTCCACTGGCAGCCCGTTCCATAAGTGCACCACACTCTATGTAAAGAAGTTGCACCTTAGGACTCTTTTAAATCTTTCCCCTTTCACTTCAAACCTTTGGTTTTGGTCTCCCACACTCTGGGGAAAGGAGCTTGGCTATTTACCCTATCCATACCCCTCATGATTCTACAAACCTCTACAAGGTCACCCCTTAGCCTCTGACACTCCAGGTAAAATAGCCCCAGCGTATGCAGCCTCACCCAATAGCTCAAACCCTCCAACCCCAGCAAAATCCTTGTAAATCTTGTCTGAACCCTTTCAATTTTCACAACATCCTTCGTATAGCAGGGAGACCAGAATTGCACATAGTATTCCAAAAGTGGCCTAACCAATGTCTTGTACAACCTCAACATGACCTCCCACCTCCTATACTCAATGCACTGACCAATAAAGGCAAGCATACCAAACGCCTTCTTCACTATCCTGTCTACCTGGGACTCAACTTTCAAGGAACTATAAATCTGCACTCCAAAGCCTCTTTGTTCAGCAACAGTCCCCAGGACCTTATCATTAACCGTATAAGTCCTGCCCTGATTTGCCTTTCCAAAATGCAGCACCTCACATTTACCTAAATTAAACCCCATATGCCACTCACCGGCCCATTGGCCCATCTGATCAAGGTCCCATTGTACGCTGAGGTAACTTTCTTTGCTGTCCACTACACCTCCAATGTTGGTGCCATCTGCAAACTTACTAACCATACCTCTTATGCTCACATCCAAGCCATTTATATAAATGACAAAAAGCAGTGGATACAGCACCAATCCTTGTGGCACGTACTCCACTGGTCACAAGCCTCCAGACTGAAAAGCAACCCTGCACCACCACCTTCAAGCCAGTTCTGTATCCAAATGACTAGTTCTTCCTGGTTTCCATATGGTCTAACCTCGCTAACCAGTCTACCATGAGGAAACCTGTCGAACGCGTTACCAAAGTCCATATAGATCACGTCCACCGCTCTGCCCTCAATCCTCTTTGTTACTTCTTCAAAAATCTCAATCAAGTTAGTGAGACACGATTTCCCACACACAAATCCATGTTGACTAATCCTAATCAGTCCTTGCCTTGTGTTGGACAATCTTTCTATTAAAATTGAAAACTTTCAATTGATTAATAATATTATTTGAAATTTTTTTCCCACTGTTTTCATGTGGAGATTAAATGCAGCAAACAGCAAAACTCTTTTTCAAAGTTTCTCTTTCTTGCAATACATTCTTTTATGCAATTGAGAACAACAGGACAGGCCATGTCATAACTGTCAAAACAGTTTAATAGGATTCTTTGAGGATATGGGCTTCAACAACTGCAAATACATGTTTCTTTCTCCACTGAATGCACTTCTTTCTGTGAACAGCTTCGCTCCAATTACCGACAGCTTTGCCAATGCATGCAAACATGGGCTTATGTCTGCATCATTTGATATCAACTTAGATTTGGAACCTAGTCCTGTGAATCTTGATTCAAGGAATAGATTTCTATAGGAATTCTTCACTTATTCTCTATACCTATGATCGCACATTGAAGGTGATGCCCCTCCTCTGCAAGTGTGGGAAGATGGCTCAATGGTTAGCACTGCTGCCTCATAGCACCAGGGACCTGAGTTCAATTCCACCCTTGGAAACAACATACCTTCCTCTTGAGATGCCTCTTTCTGCACTGTAGGGATTTTAATATATCTCCATTTTTCCCCCACCCATATAGTTCTGCCCAACCTTTCAGGTCTAAAATAGTAATTAAAGGAAATTGCAGGTCTGGCAGCATTGGTGGAGAGAGAAGCAGAGTTAATGAACAGAATTTTACTTAAAAAAGAAACTCAGCTAAATATCATGACCTTAACATCAAAAGGCAGCGGCTACTCTCCCAACTCTTCAGAGTCATCACATTCCCTCTTTGCCTGCTCCAGTTGTGCAGGGCACAGCATGAAAGGATTATGTGGCACACTGTGCCTGGATCTTTGGATTCAAGCATCAGAACTTCACTTTCAGGAAGATTATCTGCACCGTGTTAGCCTAGGTTCTGGGTTTTATCTATGCTTGGCCTCAATCAGGGGTTGTGAAATGGAGCCTTGGTTGGAGAGGATAGCCCTGTTTCACAGTAACCATCCTCGTAAGGCTTCAGCCTTGGAATGAAACAGGAACCTGGGAGTTCACAAAGATGTAGGAATCATTGCACTTTACAGGGTATGTGACACAGACCTCTGAGATGTGGCACCAATGATCACAGATGCTTGTACATTTGCTGAATGGAAGTCTTTTCTATTGATGAATTCAGCTGCGTTATTATATGGCATTTTCAACACATTGTATACACAATCAATAGTGCCCTGCACCTTGGGGAAGCCAACTACATCAACAAAGCCTGTTGCCTGGACTGCAGCACTGACCTTGTCACAAGAAACAAGATGAGTGGTATGACCTGGCACAGATTGCATCCTTGATATATTTGTGGTTTGAGGATTGAGAGATTGCACACAGTCTGCAATGGATCCTTAGAAGCAGCCAGTGCCGAAAAATTTAGTGGGATTGTCACCTTGACAGAGATAGGATGGCCACCCAGTCATTGAGGTCATAGGTCCTGCCCCAACAGATATGACACTGTTCTGTGCTAGTGCTCTGGGACATCTTCAGTCTGCAGTATCACTGTACCTTGCTGATCAACGACATTAGACTCTGGGCTTCCTATAGCACCTGAGTATTCTGAGGGGACCTTCAGCTGTGACTTCTTCATGTAGAAATTGTTCAGCTGCTGATGCAGGTTACTGCCGATCCTGGGCTTGTTGGTGCATTTATTGCTGCCCAATTCCTTGGCAGTTCTGTTGTTCCACAACTTCTGTGACAATAACCCCTGCAGTGACCGGATCCAGTGGTCACAGTTATAAAGAACCTATGTGGGGTACCTATATCAAAAGCAGACCAGGTCTTTAGTAATGTGAACTATTCAGCACTCACATCACACATGAATGAAAGTATAGCATTGTTGGCAACACAATAAGAAACAGAGAATTTAAACAAGGAGGGCCATGAGTTGCCTGCACAATAGTGAACCTCTTCTGATGCATGCAGAACAAACCATGTCACAAAATACAGTCAGAAATTGCAATGTGTCAAAACTCCTGGACTGAAATCAGGCAATATCCTTGACTGACTGCACCCGGACTGACCATAGTCTTCCTTGATTGGACAGAGTACTACTCCCTTAGACTTTCAGGCATGGCCATTAGTTCAAAGAACTTGCAGAGTGCTTGTCACATAATCTTGTCACATGGTGCCATCCAGCGTATGTCTGATCACTGTTGGCAAACATGGCAATATGTCTGTCTTATGTCTTCAGTTAAAGCAAAAAAAGACAGAAGTACTGTGAGGCTGTACGTTCTAAGAGAGGTGGTAATGCACAAAAAGCAAAGCACAGATGCGGTGATCATCCAAGTAGGACCAAGTGAGTGAGCACTAAGATAGCATGCTTACAGTCCTAAGGTGCACCCTGTTCCTTGCATGAGATGGGTGCCTATACCTGTGCACACAGGGACTTGGCAGCAGTGTTACAATGAAAGCTGTTGGTGTACTTCCGGACGTAATGTTGAAGTGATGAATTATGTTATAAGTGAGTGAATGTAGTGATGGTGAAACATGTCCAATAGCAGCATCCGTGGACAAAAGATCTGGGTGGTTGCTGCCCATGAAGGATTGCCTGAGCTATTAGGGTGTGCTGGCCAAAATGGAGCCGGGGGCAGCAAACAGTGAGCTGGAGATGCCAGCAAACCTACTCAGACTTTCATGTATGGAATTGTCACATTTTTGGAGAAATAGGAACCTGCATTTAAAAGAGGCAAGAATAAGTAATAATGATATGTTAATACATGTGAACAGATCTCTCACAACTTAGTAACAAGATTATCACTATTAATACCTTCGGTAAAAAGTCAGATAATTTTCTCAAAGTCAAGATCTCATTTTTTCCGATCTTGTTTTCCCAACTGACTCAAGATTGGTCTCATCTTACAGAGGCTGGGAAGATTCCACCCAATGTTTCAAGTTAGATACGACGCTGCTTCTGAATTCTTCAGGTTTTCTCGCATTCAGTTTCTCTATCACTTTCTACATTATGTTTTCATTTCAGATCTCCAGAATTTGCAGCACTTTGCTTTTATTTTGTTTGTTTCAAACCTGAGACCTTGTTATATTTTAATCTCATCAATAGGGATTCACATTTCCTTGCTTGTCCTGGTGCTATTTGGTATTAACAGCCTCAAAAGTGGGGGATAGGATCCTTATCACCTCCTAAATGTCAATGATTGCCATGGTTCCATTTTGAAAGAAATTTAGTTTCAAAGTGCCTGTGGTATGTCCGGCAGTTTGTTGCTTTTAAGATACAAATATGTGTTCAATGATTGGAATATAAACCTGAATTCCACTT